TCATCCGCGCACGCAAGACATCCGAGACCCCCCGAAGGTGGTTTCGTGATCGAGCCGTCGGGTTGCCGAGGGATCATCGGATCGTCCGAATCATGTCCCCTCGCGCTGGTAACTAACACTGTGGAAGAATAAGGGTGACCATGGAAAGGATCACGCTTTACCTGGACATGATCGTGCGCGATCTGAACTACATCGACGAAGCGGGGCTGCATCTTTAAAATATAAAGCGCAGCCATGAATATTTCTCTGTTGCATACCGACGCATGTTGATGATGACCAGCACATCGTCTTCGTTCGAAAAGGGTAAATCGAAAGCGGTGGTTGGCCATGATCTCGGTCGGTTTCCGTATCAGTACCCATAGGAATTGCGTAAGCCAGTAGTACATTGGTCCATACTCATCTTGCAAGTGCCCTTGCATTTTGGCCAACGTAGTCCATGGTGGTATCTGATCCACCCACGTACCCACTTGTTGTTCTCTTAAATAAAATCGTCGAATATCGTTCTGGCGTGTTGAAATCTTACCACAAAACTTGATATACGGCATATGTTCTGCGTGGTGTTCATACCAGGTGTCGTAGTTGACCTGGGAAGTTGACCTGGGAATTGAAATATGAAGGTAGCCCAGTCGTCCTGCAGTTAGGTTGTAGTATGACACTATTGACGAAACAAACGTCTAGGTAGCGCATCACTGCGCCCTGGACATCCTTGTTTCCAAGGTCAACAAGTGAGCGTTTGTGTAGGTTTCCCCCTGGGGACAGACCTAGGCTGAATTCTAGCTGCAATATACCTCCACTTCCTCCACATAATTCCAACATGTCAACCTTGTCGTGCCGTCCATAGCGTAAGGTTGGGTTATGGAGAATCCGTCTGCGTAGGATTCAGCAGTAGCCACACATAATGCGATGACAATTTCCTCTTCGTCATCGCTTTCCGTGTCGGAGTCGAGGGGTACGTCGGTGTAGTACGTGCTACATCCGAGACCTCTAAGGTCATCTCCACAATAATCGTTGCCTTCTTCGGCTATCTTGGGTATTTTGCGTGGCTTGATGCCCGCTGCTTCGTCTGCTTCCTGGTTTTCTTTTTGTTTGATTCGGGCATCTGTCGGTAATGCTGTCTGTTGTTGATCAGTCGTTTGTTCAACATCAGATGAATTGAGCGTCGGAAATTCAAGAAAAGAGGGGAACACGCGGCCGCGCTCAATCGAAGGGGAAGGGGGGCGATCGTCATCGACGATCGCAACTCGCCTTGGACGTGGACGTGGGTTCCCGCGTCCGGGGAGAGCCGGTTCGGGCTGCTCCCAGTACAATCGAAGACGAATGTTGGTGACACCAGGTGGCAACGGTGCATTGTTGTAGTTGTACCCGATAGGCTGGTCCTGGATATTTCATGTCTTGCATGATCTGATTGTCGCCCAGGTTCATTGTTGCCCGTCTGGCGACATTTGCCCATTCAGGGCCATTCTTCGGAGACTGAACATAAGTTCGGACTCCTTCACACACGCGCGTGTGGATGCTAAGGTGTACAGCGCTCGTGTGGTTTCTCTGTGTCTTGTGTAAATCCATTTGATCAATCGATCTCGCGGTCATGATAGCCAATGCTTTGTTGCGCCATTCGGCCTTCTGAGCTCCTTGGCCATTCCAGTCCAATTCATGCTCAGTGACATGTGCAGGTTCCCCTGCTGTTTGGCACGTGCACCTCCACGAGGTGGTCGGAATGCGCGCACGTGTAGTTGCCACTTGCAGATGTGACCCGCTGGGCAAATTACTTGAACGGTCGTACTTCAACCCGAAATGGCAGCGTCGCATATGCATGACCTGCAAGCCGAGATCTTCAATGGCATCTCGCACGGGACCTTGTTTCCATAAATAACCAAGCGGCCCCGCAGGTGCAATGGGCATGCGTAGAACCCAGGCCTTAGATATTAAATTTGGGATGCGTTGATAATGTGCCCCTGCCCGCTTCCTGGGCAACCGAGCGCGCCAATCAGCGGGCGTTGCCACCCGTGACAGTTGGTGATCTCCCGAGAGTAGAGCGCCCAAATGTTGTGTACCAGTTGAGGTCATAACCTCTGCATGTGTAATGCGGTCACACATGTAACCGCGAGCTCGAAGTTCAGACCGAGCTGTCCATGTTCCCAATAACAGGCGCACGAGGATGATAATGATGTGAACGCTCTTTTTCTGCGGTGGCCACACAGCCAGGTCCACTGCTATCCGCGGCGGCCGCGCAGCCGGGCTTGCCGCTGTCCCTGGCGCGCGCAGCCCGCGCCTCAGAGAAGAATGCGGGTTTCCCCACACTTGATGGCAGCATCTGGGCGTTCGGCCTGTCGGAGAAAGCGCGGGCGGCCGCGGCGCGCAGAGCCACGCCCCTGCTGCGCTGCAGAGCCGCTGCCCCAAGTGTAAATATAAAACTTCTCAGCGGCATCATCCGCCTCCGCAAGTGCCCCTGCCTGTGCGTCGGGCGGCGTCCACTTATTGGCCTCCTCGTAGATGGCCCGATATACCTTCGCCTGCAGGTTGCGCAAGGCGAGGTCCCGATCGGCCGAGGTGGGGTTAGTGCCAAAAGACGCATTCCTGCGATGCCAGGTCTTCAGGGTGTTATTCGCAAGACTGGATCGCATAAGCGAACGTCACCTCGTTGATGGAGAAGCTGCTGCCCTTGGTATCCTGTGACATTATATGTATGGGCATTGCCCCCGCGGCTGGCTCTGTGTCAGATGCCATTTTGACGAGTAGAGGGTCATCCTCGCATTGAGGGTCGGCCGCGATAGTGGGCGACGTCGACCTTCCCGCATTCGTCGACCTCGAATGCCAGATGCCCAGAAAGCGTGTTCATCAAGTCAAATACTCGGGCACCCTTGTAGGAGCTTGTGCATCTCAGAACCAGGAATAATCATCTTCTCGTGCCCCTGCACCCGGATCAAGATAACCCCCATGTTAGACATGCTCCTCTGTCCCAGAATGGCAGGGGGATGTTCCCCTGTACCCTCGGCCACGGTTGCTGAGAAGGTATCAAGTCTCGGCGCAGCAGGTGCCCCCGCCGAGCCCCCCCTTTCCTTGCGCGCAATTCTGCTGTGCAAGGACTTATCATACACCGCGGAACCATGTCCCACTCCAGACACGTAGAGCCTCTTCGTCAGGTTCAGCTTCTTGGTAGTGTGTCCATGGGAACGGGATGCCTGTTCAAATGTCTGCGCCGTTTTCAGACCAAGTATGTTGCTGTTGCTGCTGGTGCCCAAAATGATTGTCAGCATTCCATCCGCCATGGTCACACTGTTTGCTGCCAGAGCCAATTCATGGTTTTCTCCAACTATTCCTGGCACTTCAGACAGTGTCGTGCCACGCGTACCTTTGCGGCGCCTCAGCTCCAACGCCCAATCGTTTCTTGACAGAAATGTGAAGACGTTCATGTAGCCGCGGGCCTCCTGTTCCGTAATAGGGTTTTTCTGAAAATCCAGGCCGTCGGATACTCGTCATACATGCACGGGCGCGATGCAGATGTAGTCGGTATGTTCATGAACGTATCCTCGTCAGCACGCATGCCCGCCTGACCATCTGTGCTTACCATTAAAACAACGTGTAGCACGTCGCGCTCGGATATCGCACTGCTGCCGCTGCGCGCGCTCGCCGGGCTCTCCGTCCTGCGCTGGCTGCGCGGGCGGGTATCTCGCCCGTGCGGCATGTAGGCATGAAGCCGCTGAGCACTCCTATCGGTGGCTCTCTCCCCACGCCTCAGCCACGCGTCGTTGGCCGGCAGCGCGGCAGGTGCAGTCGCGGCAAGTGTCCCTGCATTGTTGGTTGCTTCTGCTATCAATGGCATGGGCGTATCCAAAGCAGGCGCGGTGGCTTCCATCGCCTGCCCCGCGTTGGTTGATGAAGCAGGTTGCCCCGCTGGTGTTGTTGTACGGGCTGCCGTGTTATTCATCATCATCGCCGTGACGCGGTTGAGCTCTTCGCGAAGGTCCCTGAGTTCGTTAGCCCCTCGGAGTACCTCTCCATGACGATTCCATGCGTCCTGATATCCAGCAGGGGCATAATACAACTCAGCTGTGATTGAACCAATGCCCCTGCAAATGGCGCGGGGGGCTTCAGTTGCAGTGCCTTCCATATTTCCAGCCAGTTGTCTGTCCACGTGAGAATGTGCAACTCGGTCCCAGCACTGTGCATGGAATATGTGGCCATACTGAAGACTCCAGAACTTGTCGTGATGCATGAACTGATCCAGGCATATGGCACACTTGTTAAAGCCACCGTCGCTGATGACTGGTGGTGTTGCCGATGGCCTGTTACGCGTCTGGCGTTCCAGAAAGGTTTCGCCAACTTCATATCGAATCGGTGGGAACGACGGTAGCTGCATTGCTGCAAGCGCTGCCGGGTTAAGTGCAGGTGCCCCTGCTGTCGTTGGAGTAGCAGGTTGCCCCGCACGGCCCAGCATCATGTTTGCCTGACGCTCATGGTTGCGACGCTGGCGGGCCGATTGCATCAAAAGGTTGGCCTGCTGCGCCTCGTGAGTGGCCAGAATCTCTGGGCGCAGCTCCCCCATGGATGATGGCACTGCCAGCCCTGGGGCCTGCTGCGTCACATCTGGGTCCATAAGGGGTAGCCAAATGTCCATCATGAGGACTCTGGCCCGGCACACCACACGTGCAACCAGGGCCACGCCCATGTTGTGAGTATTTGTTTGACCATGTTGTGGAATGTTTGGTGTATGTTCGATTTTTTGTCGAACATCCCCCTGTAATGGGGGCACGCCCGACATAAACTTAGAAACGAGCATTGTGCAGGGGCTCCCTTCGGCTACACGCAAGAGTGACCCTGGGTAAGAGTGACCTTTGGTGCGCGGCTTTTGGGGGGCCGCGTGGGGACCAAACCTAGGCGCTCAAGCCGTTGCTCCTTCTTCGTTTTCGGCCATCTGGAGGCCCGTCTGTGCCCGCACCAAAGGTCACCCCGGCGAAAGGTCACTCTTACGTCTAGTCGATCCTTTCTGTGCCCGACGACTCCTGGACGGCTGCACGTCCACCGGGCAGCTCCCGAGCACCGGCGCGAGCCAGCGCCACCAGAGCAGCTCCATCTGCAGCGTCGACACGAAGACGTCGCTGTGGGCGGCCACGGCGGAGACGCAGGCCGCCGAAAGCACCACCTGCTCCGACAGTCGGGAGCGGCCAAGAGGGGAGTGTCCAAGAGGGGGGGGGTACAAATCATGACCGGCGGCATGTGCGCGGCCCAGCGGGGGGGGCCAGGGACGTAACGAAATAAGAAGAGGCGCCATGAAATCTGGGCAAAATATCATGGCCCACGACGCGATGATATCCACCCCCCCCCAAGTCATCACCCCCTTCTTTGCCGCCCCCGAGACAAGGAGGCTCGGCGGCAACTCAGTGGGAGACTCCCATACAGTCGGGCTTCATTGGACAGGACACGCTGGAGGACCAAAGACCCTTCCGAGGGCCACATCGCCATAGGAGTGCAGGAGGCATGGGGGCGCGAGACACAGGACACAAGCGTACCCTTGATTTGGCAAGCTCGACCTACTAATCAGGGCCGACTGTACCGTCTTGTCGGCTCTTGCGAATCGACGCAAGTCGACGCTGAATCGACGCTACCCGAGGCTAAGTCGTCGCTGTCTCATCCACTCCCAGACGTTACTCGGCGCTGATCGACGCTGGAGGCGCAATTAAGAGGGCATCTCAGGCTCCCATGACTTGCTACCGAACACCACCTGCTCCGACAGGAACGTCTCCCACTGCTCCATCGCCCTGTCCTGGGACGCACACGGACACACTAGTACTTGGAGGCCTCCTGAATGGGGTCCGAGTAGATGGGGTCGGGGGATCGCGCCGAATCGCCGATGCTTCGCCGATGCATCGGCGACGTCGGCGATGCATCGGCGACGTCGGCAAAAGGAAACACGGGCTCCGCGTCGAGGCACATCGTCGGTGCATCGGCGATGCGGCGCGATCCTCCGACCCCATCTACTCCGACCCCATCTACAGTCGGCCTTGATTGGAGAGGACACACAAGAGGACACAAGACCCTTCCGAGGGACACATCGCCATAGGAGTATAAGAAGGCACGTGTCGCGAGGCACAGGACACATGGGTACCCTTGATTTGGCAGGGTCGACCTACTAATCCAGGCCGACTGTAGGAGGCCTCGTGGGACGTGCAAGGACATACTAGCACTGTATGTCCTCCTCGGAGGCGTTCGTCCGAGCCCGAGCGGTGTTAAGTCGGGCCTGTCTCCCTACAGGGGGATTTGCGACGAAACAAACAAATACTCAAAACATACTCCCAAATTGTCGAAAAATGCTCAAAAAATAGTCCCCAGCCTACGTTTTGACTATTTTGGAATATCCCCCCTGTAGAGGGACAGGCCCGGCTTAACGGTCTTGCCACAAAGCGCCCGCCACGGAGCCTCTACTATGAGACTTCTCCGTGCGCGCTTCGCCCCAGGGGGGGGGCGAGGCTCATCAGCGAGCGAAGAACGGTAAAAAACAACTTTTTCGCCGTCGGGGACACCTGCCCCAGGGCGGCTGGAAAGTTTATACCCCTACGGTGCCACCGTAAGGGTATAAACTCTCCAGCCGCCCTGGGGCAGATGTCCCCCACGGCGAACAAGTTTATTTTATACCGATCTTCGCCCGTTAAGCTCAGCGCCGATGTCCAGCTTGGAGCGCTTCGTGCGGAGCGTGACGCTATGCAGCCCTCTGCAGGCCTGGATGAAGTACACCTTCGTCCAGGACACGACCTCCTCCGCGTTGCGGTCGATGTTGGGGGTGCCGGGCTCTCCGCTGCCTGCCAGCAGGCTGAGCACCAGGTCGGTGCCGGTGCGCAGGTGGACCGACAGCTGCTGGACATGGTCCAGCCCGCGCGAGAAGCGCTGGAAGGCGTTGTTCAGGGAGAAGCCCGTGAAGAAACCGAGGAAGGAGGTCAGGTAGGCGCGCAGGAGAATGTTCTGGACGCAGGGGGAGATCACCTCCCACACCTGGCGGAGGATCGAGAAATATACGATGCAACGCAGCCAGGACTGCACCCGTCGAATTCGGGGCGCAGGCGTCGGTTGGTGCCGGCTCCCGGCCAGGCAAGGGGGACGGGCACACCCAGATCTGGGCCCACATGGGGCTCATGAGGGCTAGAGACTGGATGGTGCTGCACAGTCGGCCTTGACTGGAGAGGACTCGCGAGAGGACACAAGACCCTCCCGAGGGCCACATCGCGTAAGAAGGCACGTGCCGCGAGGCACAGGACACAAGGGTACCCTCAAGCTGGCAGGGTCGACCTCCTAATCCGGGCCGCCTGTGACACGTTCCCTCCCCCCTTCCTGAAACAGCTCGGGGCCCGACCGCAGCGCGGCGATGGCCAGCACATTGGAGAGGAGGGCCAGCGACAACGGAATCTTCATCTTGCGGAGCTTGTACAGCACGTGCGGGAAATCAGAAACGGGCGCTGGGCATGCCCCTCGTTCAGCCCTCCTCCCTCCCCCTGCCCTGCGTCCCTCCCTCCGTCATCTCCCTCCCTCCCTCCCTCCTCAGTCCCTCCTCCATCCCTCCGTCCATCTGCCCTCCCTCCGTCCCCTCTGCCTGCGTCTCTCCCTCCCCCTGGAGAACGGGGGATTGTGGAGCCCCTCGCCTTCCCCCTCCCCCTCCCTCCCTCCCGCTCCCCATCCCGCGTCCCTCCCGCGTCCCTCCGTCCCTCCCCCCGTTTCTCCCCGACCGCGCGTCCACCCCTTACCCTCCCGCTCCCCCTCCCCTGCCCATCCTCCCGCTCTTCCCCCACCCCTCCCGCCCGAGCCCCCTCCCCTCCGTGGTCGCCTTCCTCCCCTCTGCTCCCCCTCGCCTCCCCCTCCCTCCGACCCCGCCTCCCCCCTCTCTATCATGCCGTGATCTACAATGCATCGCGTACCCTTTCGGGATCATTGCCCTGCTCGACATCCGACTGTGCGAGTAGAGACGGGATCTGCACCATGGTAAGGGATGGGAGGGAAAGTAGGATGTCAGATATGACGCGAGCGCACCTAGCTTGCCCCTCCCCCTCCCTCCGTCCCGCTCCCCTCCCGCGTCCCCCCGTCCCTCCCTCCCTTTCTCCCCGACCGCGCATCCACCCTTTACCCTCCCGCGCCCCCTCCCCTGTCCCTCCTCCCCCTCTTCCCCCGCCCCTCCCGCCCGAGCCCCCTCCCCCCCGTGGTCGCCCTCCTCCCCTCTGTTCCCCCCTCGCCTCCCCTCTCCCTCCGACCCCGCCTCCCCCCTCTCTACATATCTCCCCCCCCCTCCCTCGCCCCCCCTTTTCCTTCCCCCTCTCCCCTCCCCCCTTTCGGGATCATTGCCCTGCTCAACATCCCACTGTGCGAGTAGAGAGGGGATCTGCGCCATGGTAAGGGATGGGGGGGAGGGGTAGGATGTCAGATATGACGCCGAGCGCCTAGCTTGCCCCTCCCCTCCCTCCCGCTCCCCTCCCCGTATCCCCCGACCGCATCCACCCTTACCCTCCCGCTCCCCCTCCCCTGCCCCTCCCCCCCTTCCCCCACTCCTCCCGCCCGGGAGCCCCCTCCACTCCGTGGTCGCCCTCCTCCCCCTTTGCTCCCCCCTCGCCTCCCACCTTCCTCCGACCCCGCCTCCCCCTCTCTATCCTCCCCCGCCCCCTCCCTCGCCTCCCCTCTTCCCTCCCCCTCGCCCCTCCCCTCGCCCCCTCCCCCCCCTCGCCCCTCGCCCCTCCCCCCCCCTCTCTACCCCCCTCCCTCGCCTCCCCTTTTCCCTCCCCCTCGCCCTCCCCGGGGAGCGAGCGGCGCGGGAGGCCGAGCGCCGGGCACGAACGAACCGCCGTTGGCGCCGGCGCGCTCCGCGCGTCGTTCATTCACTGTGCCGCCGGCCGGCCCGCCCGAGGCTGCGCGGGGCGGGCGCGGCGCAGCTCGCCCGCCCTCCATCAAGGGGCCCCTGGACACACAAATCAATACGCACAAATAAAATGATTCCCCCTGTTTTCCCATATGTTCTGGGTTTTCGCCCTCCCGCCCCAATTCCCCTATTTTCCCAATAGTTTCTTGGGGATCGACGATTCATTGTGTCTGTGTGCTGTTTCCCCTCCTGATTCCAGCGGTCGCCAGGAGGCGGGCTGCGCCACCTCTGCCCCTGTCTGGCCAGCGCTCGGACGTCCATTCCCTCTGTTTTTTTAGGTTCCGTGCGTGGCTTTTTCGCCAGATGATCAAGGATGCTCCTCGATGGTCCTCGCCGGAGGAAAAATGCACACGTCCGAGCGATGCCTGTGCGGCACAAGTTTTTTGATCTGCGGGGCGAGAGCGAGCCTCTTCCGCCAAAAGCTGGGCGGGCTACGCGCAGCTATAATTAGGGAGACAGGGCACAGGAAAGCGGGGCCTCGGGCGGCCAGGAGCGGGCGGGGCCTGGGGAACAGGCGGTGCCGAAGAGCTTGTGCAGGAAAAGGTACGCCGCGGACAGGGACCGGGGGCGAAGACCCGGAGGGCGAAGGAGATGGTGTTGCCGTCAACGGCCCTGTGCGGCACAGGTTGGGTATCGTTTAACCGACCCCATATCCCCATGGACGTGGGCTGGGCCCCAGTGGCCGATGGACCCCCCAGATGGGGAGATAGGCCGTTCCCTTCGGGCTTCGAGGTGCGTGTCCCCAACTAGGGTGCAAGGATGCTGTGGGTCTGGATGGGGCTGGGGATGGGGATCGGTTAAACGATACCGACAGGTGTGACAAACCCCCACCGACCCTAGAGTTCGAAAATTGAGGGTTCGCGGAGGACTGGGCTCCTGCCAAAACAGCCGAAACCATCCCAAAACCCTCCAGAAACCCTCGAGGAGGGGTGGGGTTCCAGGAGGGTTTTCGGATGCTTTTGGAAGGGAGTTCGTCGTGCCGGGAAGAAACCAATGCCTAGCGAACCCTGGGCTTACTCACCCAAGGAGGCCCCCCGCGAAAAGAATCTAAAGTGGGGGGCCCCCGGCTTTCATTGGCGGAGCCTCGGCGCCCGACAGGGGCCCACGTACTTACTTTCAACAGCCGGTGTGGTATCATTCGAAACCATGGGAACCTTCGACACCCTAGATTCCAGGATTTCGAAGGTTTCCAGGACCTGGAAACCTTCGAAATCTTGGAAAGCATTGCTCCTTTGAGCCAGGCTTCCTCTTTCTTTTTTTTGTCGGAACGGCTTCGCCCTGGCGACCCCTACCATCCCCGGCAGCACGTGCGCACATGAAACAAGGTAGCTCACTGACAGTTTGAAGAAGAACACATAATTGAAGGGGCCCCAGGACACACAAATAAATACGCACAAATAAAAACACTCCCCATATTTCCTCATATTTTCTGGGTTTTCGTCTTCCCCCCCCACTTCCCATATGTTCCCATATTCTCCTGGGGAATCGAGGATTAATCGTGTCTGTGTGTTTTTTCCCCCTCCTGAATAATGCGCATGCACTGGGCGGGACCCGTCTTCTCCAACGCGAGCGCCCCTGCCTGGAAAGCGGAGGCCGCGCGCCCCAGAAAAAACACAGCGCCGCACGCACTCTCGGCGAACCCCGCCAGACAAAAAAGTGCACGCCGCGCGGCGAGGCTCCGCCCGTCGCGGCGCGAGGCCCCCGCCCGCTGGGCGCGGTGCACCAACAGGAGCCGTCGGAGTGTCGCGCGGCGAGGCGCGCCTGCCGTGGTGGAGCGAGAGGCCCCGTGCGATGCGACGCGGCTGCGGCTGCGACACCGCGTCAGGAGGCAACTGCTGGGAGGTCTTCGTCGGAAGGACTCCCAGACAGGATCGCGTCGTTTAAAAAAATGAGGACGGAAGTTTTCGGCAATTTTTTGGCTCCGGGGGGCCCTCGTCGGGCCCTGGGGCCGTCAAAAAACGACTCAGGACGAAAAACCGGTCCCGGGGGAAGGGTCGGGACTTCCACAAACGCCGTCCTGAAAAAATCAGGAAATCGCATGTCTGGATTAATACAGGCCTCCTAGATGGGGTCGGAGTAGATGGGGTCGGGGGATCGCGCCGCATCGGCGATACATCTACGATGCATCGGCGATGCACCGGCGATGCATCGTCGACGTGGGCGATGCATCGGCGACGTCGGTGTGGAGGAAGTGAAGCTCCGCATTGAGCCGCATCGCCGATCCATCGGCGATGCGGCGCGATCCTCCGACCCGGTCTACTCCGACCCCATCCAGGTAGAACTAATGAGGAGTAAGCCCCGTTGGGGGTGTTACGCCTAATTAGGCATTGGACAAAGCGCGAGCAGGCTGGATCAAGCGGAAACATCAGCGGGATAAGCCAGATGTAGCCAGATTTCGGGCCAGGGCGCAAGCAGAATTTGACCTCCCAGCAGTTGTATCCGAACCCTCAGTTGCCTCGATCGCGATGAGGCTCCCTGACGCGGCCACACCCGCTGGCCCCGTCGCTGAGCGACTCCTGGCTCGCGCTGCGCGACCTCGAGCGCAAGACAGCGGCTCGTGGAACGGCGCGCAGCCCCCCTCGAAAGGGTGCTGCGCAGGGGCAGGTGATGAACCGGCCTGTGGTTCGCCGAGCTGTGTGGGGCTTGTGGGGGGACTTCCCCCGCAGCGATGTGAGCCAAGTCCCTTCCGCGTGCGCGCGCAGGCTTAGCTCGGGCCTGTCCCCAGACAGGGGGCTTTTGGACGAACGATTAGAAATGCTCCAGACAATGCCCAACATATATACAACGATGCTAAAACAAAAATCGTCCCAAGATCATTTTCTGAACTATTTTTGAATTTTCCGCCGGTAGAGGGACAGGCCCGACTTTCAAGCGCAGGTCCGAACGCGCGTCGCTCACCCCCCCTCCCCAGGGGCGCGCACGTCTGAAGTGGGGGGCCACATGCGAACCCTACCCACCATTTCTGAGAGGGAGGGTGGGGTTTACTTCGTTCGGGAGCTCCTGAGCGAAGTGAACCCCACCCTCCCCCTCAGAAACCGGGTGGGGTAGGGGTAGGGTTCGCATGTGGCCCCCTCTTCCAAGAACATTTCGTGGTTTGCCGATGTCCCTGCTCAACACCTGTGCGGTGCGCTGCGCCGTGCCTCGCCGACCCCTCACCTGGCCCCCGAGGCGCCGGCCCCTCGAGGAGGAGGAGGAGGACGAGGAGGAGGAGGAGGAGGAGGAGGAAGAGGAGGAGGAGGAGGAAGAGGAGGGGGGTAAGGGTAGGGTTCGCACGTGGCCCCCTACGAAGAGGCACCGGCACGCGCGTGGTTTGCCCCCCACGCGTGGAGGCGGGCCACCTGCTGGGGGGGGAGCGGGGCCAGGCAGTCCGCGAGCGCCCACCGAGCATCCCTTCCCACAGGGACCCTGACATACCGTCGGGGCGTTGACCTAAGGAATCCTAAATAAGGAACGAGGCCCCTTGTTTCCATAAGTTAAACTTCGATTTCCTATCGGAAACCTAAGGAAAACCTGAGGCAGGCTGGGAAACACTTACGGAACGCGGAGCCCCTCCCCAACGAAAAGGGTTCCTTCTTCGGGGCCCCGACTGTAAGTCGGGCACGTCCCTCTACAGGAGGAATATGCAAAGGTCAGAAAAATAGTCTCGGGACGACGTGTTTTGCATTATTTGGCCACCTGGGAGGATGTCTTGACTACTTTTACTTTTCGTCCAACACCCGCCCGTGGGAGGACACGCCCGACCTAACCCTGATATGGCGAGGCGGGATGCGAGCAAGCGTGCCCACCCTGCCGTTCGGCTGGGCTGCTCGCTCCTCCCCCCCCACGCCGGCCTCTAGCCTCCCCTCCCCCTCCCCATCCCCCATGCACTTCCCGCCCTCCTGATCCTCATCGACGTCGTCGTCGTCGTCGTCGTAATGTCGTCGTCGCCTGTTGGGGCGCGCCGTCGGCGTCGGCGTCGCCGTCGGCGTCGTCGTCATCGTCGTCGTCGCAAGCGCGTCGCCGTCGCCGTCGCCCGCGCCGGCGCCGTCGCCGTCGCCCGTCGCCGTCGCCGTCGCCGTCGGCCGTCGGCCGTCGCCGTCGCCGCTGCCGAAGTCGTCGTGCTCCTGCTACTGCTCCTGCTCCTCCTCCTCACCCTCCTCCTGCTTCAAGTCCTCCTGCTCTTGCTCCTGCTCCTGCTTCCTGCTTCCTGCTCCTTTCCTTCCTCCATCCCTCTTCCGTATGCGTAACTACCTCCTCCCCGTCGCTCCCCGAGGCCTGTCGAAATGGCGGGACGGGCGCTTCGCCTGAGAGTTCCTCACCATTTGCGATCCTGAAGCTTCAAACTTTCAATTCCACAGATGGAGGGCGGGTGGTGTTCGAACTGAAGCTCTCGCCTTAGCGCCGCGCACATTCTTATATCTATATATGTCCTTGTTTTTTTTGTTTTGTTTACAAACATATATATAAACACACTGGAAAAGCTTCACAGGTGGATGGCGGGTCGTTCTCACAATGCGGCTCTCGCTTCAGTGCCTCGCACGTTCGCCTTAGCAGTGTGGAAAGGCTTCACATATTGGCTTCACAGATTGAAGACGTGTTTTTTTTGATGGTGGCCCTCGCCGTAGCGCCGCGTACATAGGTTTTAAGAGTTCGCAACAGTTTCACATATTCTCATGGTTCACTTCCCAGAAGTGGTGTTTTGGCATGATGTCGGAATGTGAGGGCGCCGCAGTGACGTTGATTCACGGTGTTGAAGTCCTACAAATGGTGCTCTGGCACGACTCGCTATCGTCAAGACTCAACAGTAACGGTGATTCGCGGCACTGAAGTCCTAATAATGGTGCTCTCGCGCAATTCTGGATGTTCAAACGGCTGTCTTCCAACGAGGCACTTCCCTCAATGACAGCGAGCCTTGTAGGGCCCATGGAGAAGGAACTTGGAGGGAGGGTTCATTGCAAAATCGTTGATGAGCCTTGGGTTTGCACTGGTCCTCTTCCTGCCCCTCATTCTCCTCATCCCCTCCTTTCCTCCTCCTCCCCTCCCCCCCGGTTTACCCCTTCTCTTGCTCCCCTCCTCTGCCTGAAGGACGGCCCAGGCGCACCCTTCTGGGTTCCCCGATGTAGCCCCGGATGGCGGCCCGGGACGCCTCCGTGTGCGCGGCCATGAGCGCCTCGAGGGAGACAAGGGCTAAGTCGGGCCTGTCACCCTACAGGGGGATTTTGTGCGGAAAATAAAACATGCTCCAAAACATATCCCCCAAATGAGCATAAATGGTTAAAAAAAATCGTCCCCTGACTATTTCTTTTACTATTTTTGACTGTTCCCCAAATGAACAAAAATGTCCCCCAAATGAACAAAAATAAGAATACTCAAACAATGTCCCCCAAATGAACAAAAATGGTAAAGCAATCGTCCCCGCACTTTTTTGTTATTATTATTTTTGATTATTCCCCCTGTAGAGGGACAAGCCCGACTTAAGACAAGGGGGGGGGGGGGGCGACGCCGGCCAGCAACGGAAGGGCGGGCGAGGGAGGGCAGGAGATCCAGGAGGAGCAGGGCGAGCAGCAGCAGCAGACGAGACGTGGCAGCCCGCTGCTGTCGGGGCGTTGACCTCAGGAACCCTAAATAAGGAACGAGGCCCCTTTTTTCCATGAGTGAAACCCCGACTTCCTGTCGAAAACATAAGGAAAGCCTGAGGCACGCTGTGAAACACTTAAGGAACGCGGAGCCCCTCCCCAACCAACAGGGTTCCTTCTTCAAGGCCCCGACTGTACCACTCACGAAGTCCATCCCGACACGAGACAAAGCACCGTCCCTCGACCCATGAAAGGTGCGGGTTCGATACCTCTGCGGGCAATGGAGACAACGGGGGGTGGGCAAGGGGGATCCAAACCTCCGACGATGTGGCCGGTTCGGGGGGGTCGGGAAACCCTGAAGCCAAACACGTCGCCATTTCTCGGGGCCACATCTTTTACCTTCGTGGGCTTCAGCCGGCGAGGCACTTTCCTGAAACGCCCCATGCAGTAGGAGCTCGACCACAAGAAACCTCCCACAAGGAACCCAACCCCGAGATCCCAGAATGTCCATGGATTTCTGGCGTGGCAACGCCGCGCTTCCCACGGCAAAACCAT